CCCAGAGGACTCCAAATCCGGGCTCATTTCGTTTTTTGCGAGTTGGCTGTCAAGGGGGGGGGAGAGGGGTATAAATTGGTTTTAAAGGGGCTAAAGGGGTCTAAAGGGGGGTGGCTTTGTGTGATTCTGTTATTTTCTTTTCTATCTCCGATTCTGTGAGGAATTATAATGTGACCCTCAGCCAAAAGTGGTTTGCATTTCAATCCTACACAACATATTTTTTTTCGGGAATTTTTTTTTTTTTTTTTTTTTTTTTTTTTGGCGCTGGGGTTGCCCGGAACCCTGCCTGGGGGTCATGCCCGGCCGGGCACCGGGGCGTGTACCCAGGCAGAAGTTGGGTGCCCAGGCGCCCGGGAAAACAGCCTAGCCAAATTTAAAATAAAAATTTTATTTTAATTTAAAAATATTTTTTTATTTTTTTATTTTTTATTTCTTTTTGGTCCGGCCGGGCAAGTGGACCCGGGCCACTCTGGTAGCCTAGGTGCTGACAGCACTGCCAGTCTGAAGGCTCTTTAAGTTCTGATTCATGGTAACCGACCAGACGCCCGGACCGGATTCCAGACAGTCCGGAACAACATATCCGGTGTCCGGTGTCCGGTCCTTATGACCGGATGGAGGCCCCCAGGGCAAAAATCGAAAAAAATGAAGGGGCAGCCCAGGACGTTTTTCAGGTCCTGTCCGCCCCTTGAAAAATAATGGGTTGATTTTTCAGTGTCGTTTCACCCCACTGGACAGGGCCTAGAGGTTCGGGCACAAGACACTGCAGGTTTTTGGGGTGGCAGGTTTCACACAGGCCCAATAGATGGAGCGTCCAATACCAGGATTGCCAGGGAAGGCTGCTCATATCACCTACCCTAGCAGTCCAAGTTGGGCTTAACAAAAAAAAAACAAAAAAAAACTAGGCTGTTTTTCCGGGCGCCCAGGCACCCAACCTATGCCCAGGTACACGCCCAGATGTCCGGCCGGGCATGAACCTGGGGCAGGTTTCTGGGCAGCCTCAGCCCCCCCCCAAAAAAAAATCCGGAAAAAAAAATTGTTGTGTAGAATTGCAATACAAACAACTTTTGGGTGAGGATCACATTAAAATTCCTTACAGAATCGGAGATAAAAAAAGAAAATAACTTTAAATAAGTTTAAATAACAGAATCACACTAAGGCACCCCCCTTTAAACCCCTTTAGCCCCTTTCAAACGAATTTTTTTCCCCCTTTCCCCCGCTTGACAGCCAACTCGCAAAAAAGGAAATGAGCCCGGATTTGGGGTCCTCTGGGAGAGCCCAGAACACGTGCTGGCCGGGTGCAGGGAACTGAGGCCCCTTCACTTCACCAGAAATAGAAAGAAAGGAAAAGGTGGTAGAAAGGAAAAGGTTGTGGCTTTTTTGTACTTCTGCGTCTGCCGGGAGTCGAACCCGGGTCTTTTGCTTGGAAGGCAAATATCCTAACCGTTGGACTACAGACGCCTGCTCGGTGTGTCCGTTCAGCTGTCTTCATGGCTCTACTGCTGCGTCTGCCGGGAGTCGAACCCGGGTCTTTTGCTTGGAAGGCAAATATCCTAACCGTTGGACTACAGACGCC